TCGGCGGCTGAGCCAGCTGGGCCCCGGGCGCCGTGACAGCGTGCAGAACACTGCGGCTGTGGGGACATTTGTCAGCGCTGAGGCTCCTAGACCAGCAGTCGCCGTATTGAAGTCACATTCGGTCCTCGAGCTGGAGGAACAGAGGGAGATTTTAAATGTTAAGAGAAAAGGAGAGAAAAACCTTCTCTCAAAGGGTAGAATCAGCCTGGACATGAGTAGCTGCCACTGAGGAATATGAAGACCGGCTCTGCAATAGAGCTGCATCTCAGCCACGCTGGGCAGCGGCGTGCAAGGTCCCCCAGCATCCGGTGCTGACCCCACCGGCCGGGGGCCCCAGGCGAGGACACACGGCCCACAGCCCCGAGACATTTTCAGAATGATCTTAACACGTGACTTTTCCTCCGGAAAATCACCTTGTGCTTTCCCACCGGATGGCCCCCTCCACCGGAGGGGAAGCAGCACAGCCCTGCCCAGCACCACCGGAGCGGCTCTCCACGGCTTCCGGGTCCCCTCCTCCCTCACAGACGGAAGGTGCCACCCGGCATCTCCAGGCGCTGATGTGCCTGTGCCGGCCTCTGGCTCCGAGAGGCCTGCGGGTGGACGGCAGGGCCTCAGAGGCCGCGTGCAGGCCAGCGGCTACGCTGCAGTGAACCCACAGCCCGCACCTGAGCGTTTCAGATCTCCGTCTTCCATCGCTGCGAGCTGTCTCTTCACTGTCTCCTCCCAGAATGCCCCTCCCCGGGCTTATTGGGAGCCGGTCCCCAAGGCTCCACCCCGTGCCCGCAGGCGCCCCTCCTCCCGGCAGTGAGCGCACCGACAGGCACCTCTGATGGCACGGCAGGTGCCCTCCGTCCCCTCTGATGCCCAGCAGTGTGGGGCCACGAACCTGGGCCTCTTCTCCCCGAGCAGCCGCCCTCCTCCCTCCGGCTCCCTGCACACATATTCCCCAAACAGCCCCCCCCCAAACCCCACCCCCCCCCCCAGGCCAGGCCAACATCCCTCCCCCTGACCCCTCCCTCCACCGCCACCTCAGCGACAGCAGCACCCTCCTCATCTTTCCAACTAGGGCCCTTTCAGCATAATTTTTCCCCACGAGTCCCCTGCGATACTCATACACGTTTAGTATCTGCTGATTGAGAAAATGGATGATGATAAAACTCCTAGGAATGCGATAATGCCTTTAAATGACGCTGTGTCTCGGTAATCACCAAAGGGCTGGCACACACTTGAGAAATGATGGTGCTCCGTGCCGTGTGGAGTCTGCAGAGGATGCGGGTGCTGCTGCGGCTCTGGGCAAGGTCTCCACAGGCCCGCGGGCGCCCTCGCCCGGGCACTGATAGCCCACCTGCCCGCTGCCCCGGCTGTGGCGCCCGCACGCCCAGCGGTCAGGCTCCTGGAAGGCTCCTGTGTCTGATGTCGGCTGCAGAGGCACACGTGTGGAGGGGCCTCGGACAGAACGCCGGCCTGAGCGCCTGCTTGGGTCCCAGGACCCAGAGATGCGCGAGGGGCAGGCCAGGCAGGAGCCTGAGGAAGTCCGCGCCGTGCTCAGGAGCTCAGGATGCTGGGAAAGCCTCACTCCTCCAGCGGGAAGGGTCCGCTTGAGAAACAGGCGGCGACTGGAAAGCCAGGGTGCACAGGCAATGCTCAGCGGGAGCGGAGAGTGTAGAGCTGTCTTTGTGCCATGAAACATCTGCGTGTCT